AATAAATATAATATTGTATTCTTAAATGCACATTATTAATCATTATACGGATCGCGAATCGAATATATAATCGCGTGTTATTGTTCCTGCATATACGGACCGACATTTTGGCTTTTGCCCGCAATTTGGATACAAAATAGTACGCATATGTAAATACGGCGGACAAAAGGCCGCAGAATCAGTCAGGCAGAATTCTATATGTAAATTATCAAAGGCAAATTAAAGCTCATTAGACATTACTGTATGTCACAGAAATACAGTTATTGTAACTATAAAGTGCTTTGTCTTAAAGGAAGTTATGAAGTAATGCCAATGACTTATTTCATTAAAAAACACCAACTCTCATAATCTACGAAATGCCATTTCAGACCCCGGAGTTTTAAAAAGGTGTCATCCACATCCCCAATCTCACTCTTAACTTCTCTGGAAAGTTGAGAGGTCTGAACTGGTACAAAATTGCAAAATAGACATTAAGATATTACCATTTTATAAATACTGTTACACAATAGAAATATGATGCAATCACGCGGAAATATAATTGAGAAATGAAAATTATACAATCTACTTATCTTAATTAAATTAAGAACACGAGAAATAGGTAAAGACGTAGAAATAGTAAAATTAATCAACGAAAATACCTTTGTTTTATTGCAGAATGCATAGCGTGTATCGAGTTCAATGGTATCGAGTTACGGTGGCCCACAAGTGCAACGTCAATAGACTCAATAATAAATCAGATATCAACTTAAATTTCATAACTTCAAATTCAAATTCCTCACTTCAAATTCAAATTCCTCACTCCAAATTCAAAATCCTCACTCCAAATTCAAATTCCTCACTCCAAATTCAAATTTCTCACTCCAAATTAAAATTCCTCACTCTAAATTCAAATTCCTCACTCCAAATTCAAATTCCTCACTCCAAATTCAAATTCCTCACTCCTAATTCAAAATCCTCACTCCAAATTCAAATACCTCACTCCAAATTCAAATTCCTCACTCCAAATTCAAATTCCTCACTCCAAATTCAAATTTCTCACTCCAAATTCAAGTTCCTCACTCCAAATTCAAATTCCTCAATCCAAATTCAAATTTCTCACCAATCTCGTTCCCAGAGTATACCTGTTCGCGGGTTATGTAGTGGCATGACTCTAGCGAGCTGCTCCATTTACTATTCGGAGTACTCCGGATTTTCGGAACAATAATGGAATGGAACAGACGAGAGTCACATGACTGTTCTGAAGTGTTCTGACTACCCCGATTTTCGAGTAGGGGCAGCCAGAACAGACACGTGACACTGCCTATTTCACGTGATTGGAAGTGGAGGCGACACATTTTGTGTATCCAATACACACCGTATAGAGCGTTATTTTTAAGGCTTAACCGCTATATTTCGACATATACTTATCGCCGAGCCGACGGCGCGAAGCGCCGTTCGAGGGTACTAATTCAACCCGGCTATTTACACCCGGGGAAACGAAAGCATTAGCGAAGTCTAAAGTTCATCCATTATCGCGGGCGTGGGTGACCAACGATGTTAGGGGTGTTGGGTGGGTGGTCATCCTCACTGTTCTAAAAAATGTGGCGGACTGTCATGAATAGCAGACACTGATTGGTCCAATTTAAAGTTTGCATTAATAACGATTGCATGACGACAGCGAAGTAGCAAACATTTCTTGATTTGATGATTGATAAATTTCTTGCAAATACATTTCATTTTTGCTCGCATTTTTGCAAGATTTTGTAAATTTCAAAAGCTCTCTGAGAAAGAAACTGCGAAAGAATTGGCTAAAAGAAGGGAGCCGACGTTAACGATGTAAGTTTGCTTTAAATATTGATTTTATAATGCCTCTTTAAAACCCGACGGCCTTTGCGTATATGAAACAACTAAACAAGGCAGCATATAATTTCAGTGTATCTT